CCAGAAGCACAGCAGGATTTTAAAAGGTTTTGTAAGAGGATTGCAGCTGTAGATTCTGTGTCTCTGCCTGGGGGACAGAGCAGCAGGCATAACAAAGGGATTCTTCTTTTTTGAGCTGGAGTTTTCTCTACTTAAAGGCAGGGTGGTTAACCTCCTGCAGGGAAATTCACAAGTTTTTCGCAGACCTAAAGAGGTTTTTTTTTAAGCTAAGAGCTGCTAGAGGGTTTTCTGTCTATTTGCCTGGAGACAAAGGTGTTAGCTATTCTCAGCCTACAGAAAAATCCTTTTTTTAAAAAAAACTATCACGTTACAGCACAGCAAAATATTACAAGCCAGTTTTTGGTTTTGTTTTGTGGTTTTCTTTCTAACTCTCGGGTGTAAAGTTAGTTAAAAACAGAGAGGCTAGGATGACAGAAACCAAGGCACAACACAAGCTGGAGTTAACCAGACTGGAGGCAGTGAAAGAGGCAGAAAAAGCCCAAGAGGCTGCTCAGAGGAGAGCTATGGAGGCAAGGGAAAAAGAACTGGAGGAGAAGGTAAAAGAGAGGAAGCATGCACTGGAGATGGAGAAAGCAAAGGCTCAGCACAATATACCGGATAACCCTAACAATCCACAAATGGGAGCAACTATGTCCACAGTATGATGATTCCAGTGATATTGCTGAATACTTTCTCACCTTTGAGAGACTGTGCACACTCCATAAAATTCCTGAAGCTCACAATATGACCACATTGGTCACAAAACTGACTGGAAGGGCTCTGCACATATTCAATAAGATGCCTATAGATGAGGCTTCTAACTATAATAAATTCAAGGATTTGGTTTTAAAGCAATTTCAAGTTACACCTGAAACTTACAGAGTAAAATTTAGAGCCCTTAAGGGAGGACATGAACTAAGTAATGTGGCTTATATAAACCAGATGAAGGATCTGGGTCAAAGATAAATGGATCAAAGGAAGGGGTGTAACTAGCTTTGAAGGAATGTGTGATTTGATGACTCAGGAGCAATTCCTGAATATGGCCAAGGAGGATATAAAACAGTGTTTATGGGATAAGAAAATGGACTCAGCAGAAAGTCTTGCTTCTTATGCTGATCAATACGAGCAGTCCCAGACCACCAGAGAAGCGGGGCAAACCAGAACAAAACAGATGGTGGGAGGAGAGAGAAACAACCTTGGTCACAGTTGGAGCGGATACCAGAAGGGACAACCTCAGACCACACCCTACTACCGGGGGCAGCTCAAGGCCCCAACTACACCCCAAGGAACACTCCAGACATCTTATCATCCTGCCACACCATTCACCAGCAATCCACCTCACCCCAGTGACCCATCAGCTGGACCATGTTTTAAATGTAATGAGCCAGGGCATGTAAAGGCCAACTGCTCCAAGAACCCCAACAGATTACAGTCCATTGCACCAGAATCAGAGGTCCTCAGGCCCAGATACCTCCCAGATACCCTCAGAGCAGAGGGAAACTGTGAGTCTGGGCAGGAAGAAGGTCACCGCATGGAGGGACATCGGAGCACAAGTGTCAGCTATCCATGCTTCCTTAGTGGACCCCAAATTAATTGACCCAGAGGTCCAAGTGATGATTCAACCCTTCAAGTCAAACTCTTTTGACTTGCCTACAGCCAAGTTGCCGGTCCAGTACAAGGGCTGGTCAGGAATGTGGACTTTTTCAGTCTATGATGATTATCCCATCCCCATGCTTTTGGGGGAAGACTTGGCCAATCATGTGAAGCTAGCCAAGAGGGTGGGAATGGTCATCTGCAGCCAGGCTAAGCAAGCTGTCACACTTAGGTCTGTTCCGGAAACTTCTACCAGGACCCGGTCAGAGGTGATGGAACTGGACCCCATTCCAACATCTGCAACAGCAGTAGTGGATCCAGTCACCGAGACCCAGACAGAGCCAGTCTCAGAACCGGAACCGGCGGAACAACCAGCACCAGAACCAGTGCCAGCAATGAATTCAGTACTTGCAACCCCAACACCAGAAGGCCCCATGGAACCTGCACCACCAGCAGCAGATAACCCTACACAAAAGGCTCAGCCAGAGCCTGAACCCCAACATAGTGCACCAGCAGAGAGTGGTTCACAGTCAATGGAAAAAGCCCCATAACCCTTCTGCCCATCAGAGTTGGCAGCAACAAGGGCCAGGTTCAGTATCTAGGGGTTCCATTCCAATAATACAATGCAAAACCAGCTTGAGTCCCCACCCAGTGACCTGGGACAAATATATACCACCACCACCACCACCACCCCCCCTCCAGGCGCCTCTAAGAGGCAATACTTCTCCTCTCGCAAGCACAGAGTCTGAGTGTAGCAAAAGCCTTTTAATAACAGAGAGAAACAATGTGGCATTATGTTGGGGAAACACCACCAACAGGATTCATAGCACAAACCATGAGCAAAAACCCACCCCAAGCAAATTGGGCCATGTCCTTTCCCTTTGGTTCTTGAGTCCAGCAACCCCAAAATCACCCAAAGTCCAACAACCCCAAAGTCCAGCAACCCAAAAGTCTCTGTCCTTGGTGAGTCCAGAGTTCAAAAGTTCATCTGCAGAGTTTTAAACACCCCCCCAGCCTGTGTGGAAATGTGGGGGAGTAAAGGAGCACCTTAAGTGCTCCGATGGCCAACTGCCCCACCTCTTTGTGGGTTTCTTCTGGAGCCTTCACTGCCAGCCGCTCCTCTCCGCCACTTGCTCCTCTCTGGTAGCCATCCTGTGAGCCGCTCACCAGTATATCTTCAGGCCCCCTACTACATAACACTGCATTCAGTAATTTCAGCTCGTAGTAAGGAAGCCCCAGTGCTGATACACCATTGGCCCAAAGTGAAGTCAGCTCTGCAATCTGTAACCAGACTCCTAGTAGAATCAAAATTAACTCTGCTATTACAGAGTGGAGACAGTGCAGTTAGCCCTCAAAAGACAGCCCATAGCACAAACAGCTGCCCCCAATCTCTCTGTAGTTACTGAGAATTGGAATTCATGTCCCTTGCCTAGCGAGTGCTATTTAGTTGATGGTGAGTCCCTCCATCATAATAAAAAGCCAAGTACAGTTCCACTGTCCTTGATTCACATAATCAGGATAATAACACTTTATTCTTCCTGCCCCAATAACAGAGAAACTGGAGATCCCACAGCAGCCAAAGTAACCGTGTAGGCAGGGTGGGTGTGCCTATGCAAATGAGATCAGCCCCTGAAGTTCTTTTCCACAACCCGCCACAGCTCACCACCAGATGTCTGGTTAGAGCTCATCCTGACTCTACTTACATTACAGTTTCTCTACCCCTCTCTAAAACTTGATTAACTTGCAGGATACAATGGTTCACTCTGCAAAGGCCAGCAGGATGTTACCCTTGTTTGCCAAAATTTGGAGAGTTCTTTTTAGCTAGTCAGAGGAAGAGACTGTTCCCTTTATATTTAGATTATGAGAGACTCTTGACCAAGGGATTACCAATAGTTTGAAGATTTCCTTTGAGCAGCCCAATTCCTATTCCTGGGGGCATAGAGATGGCGTAAACAAACGTACATCATGTGATCTTGCTTGTGTCTTTAGTAGGGGAACAGAGTGATAGCTTTTCTGATTTAAGAGCCAGAAAGACCTATAGTTATTAACAACAGATTCCAGGTGTATTTGATATCTATACGTGTCTCATGGAGAGTAAGGGGGGAAAAGAAGGTGAAGAGGAAAAGTCTTTGCTTGTCACTGGCCCAGCCACAATTGTCAGAGACGCTTTGTAGGCATTACAATAAGGGCCTGATTCTCCTCTTGGCTATCCTGGATAAATTAGGACTAACTGAAGTAACGGAAATCAAACTAGTGCAAAAGTCATGTTCAGAGAGGAGAATCAGACCCTCTTGCGCCACACAGCTCTCTTGAAATCTCTGCTTTTTCCCCCCTAGCTTGGACTCTGCAGGCGAGCAGGCATGAGTAATAGGGAATGCCTGGAACTTTTATACTTTGGTGAAAGTGTAAATACAAAGATTCAAGCCTGGCAGGTAAAGTTGCTAGAGTTGTACTGAAGAGTAGCCATGATAGTACTGCACTTGTCAACCTTTGGCAAGAAGTCTGATCCCAGAAATTGAACAGAGCCGTGTTATCCAGAGAATACAGACTGCCATGGGGTGCTGAAAGCACTTTAGAGCTTCAGGGTTGGAATGACCTCACTAGTCTCAATGGTGGAGAAATGGGGGGCCCTGCATGCTGTTCCTAAAACTGCTGCAGCATTCAGCCCAAGCTCTGCACAGTGCGTCATTCTCTGTGCAGCTTGAGGTTGGCATGTTTACCCTTAGGAAAGCTGATGTGAGACTTTCGTAATCAATGTTATTACAGCTTGCCTACAGCTAAAGTAACACTAAGATGATGCACATCACTGAGTTTAATTACCCCAAATAATGCCAGTGCTTTGAGCTTTGGTTTAGAAAAACAGAAAGCATCTGTTGGTATCATAGTTGGCAGATTCTTACTGGATATTAGAAAAATTACTTAAGGTTGCATTTGCATCAACATGATAATCACTACAGATAAGTTTATATATTTTTAGATACATAGGTTACAAATATATATACACATACACACACATATATATATATATATTTCACACACACACACACACACACACATATATTCTGCTGGTAGACCTCCAACATTTTGCTGAGCAACAAAAGTGAGAGAAGGGAAATGATGATTTTTAACAGATTAAAGCTCAGCAAAAGCAGAACGGAATCTCATGGGCAAAAGAATAAGGCTTCACTAGCCCAGGGAGTTTTCCTCTTAACAATGGAGGTATGAAAGCTTCTCAAAGAAAAAGCTGCAAGTATCCTTTGTTATGAAAAGTGTTAGGCAACACAGCTCCCCATCATATATGTATAGATGTGTGTGTGTGAGTGCACGTGGGTGCATGTGCATGTTTTTCATTTGTAATGTTAGTAATATCAGAAACAGGAGAGCAGGACCCTTCAGTGTTTCTTTCCCTCTGTTTCTTTGGTGAGCAGATGCTGTCACAGACTATGATTTGATCCAATCTCATAAGCCAAACCAGGCAGGGTCTTGTCAGTCCTTGGATAGGAGAGAACATAAGAACGGCCCTACTGGATCAGACCAAAGGTCCATCTAGCCCAGTATCCAGTCTTCCAACAGTGGCCAATGCCAGGTGCCCCAGAGGAAATGAACAGAACAGGTAATCACCAAGTGATCCATCCCCTGTTGCCCATTCCGAGCTTCTGGCAAACAGAGGCTAGGGACACCATTCCTGCCCATCCTGGCTAATAGCCATTGATGGACCTATCCTCCATGAACTCACCTAGCTCTTTTTTGAACTGTTATAGTCTTGGCCTTCACAATATCCTCTGGCAAGGAGTTCCACAGGTTGACTGTGCGTTGTGTGAAAAAATACTTCCTTTTGTTTGTTTTAAATCTGCTGCCTATTAATTTCATTTGGTGACCCTTAGTTCCTGTGTTATGTGAAGGGGTAAATAACACTTCCTTATTTACTTTCTCCACACCCGTCATGATTTTATAGACATCTACCATATCCCCCCTTACTCGTCTCTTTTCCAAGCTGAAAAGTCCCAGTCTTATTAATCTCCCCTCAAGGAAAATCGGAAGGAAGCAGCGTGATGGAGGGTGGGCAACACAGTAGGTGCACTCTTACCTATGGGTCAGGGCTGAGCCAGTGCACTAAGCCGTTAGGGGTGCAGTGTGCTGCCGATGCTGACTTGCAGCTGACACATATAGCCTGATCCTAAATCATATGCTGATGTTAAAGATTCTATTCTATGCTACATACGCTTTTATACTACTCCACAGCGTAGCATCTGAGTGCCCCCCCCCATACGTTAAGCAACCTAACATCTGTCTCATTCTCTTCTCCTCATACTTCCCAAAGAAGGAAAAGCGTATTCAGTGGAATGTTTTGGTAGGTTTGGGATGGGGTTTTTTGGTTTGTTTTTTTTAATACACAAGTGGCCCTGTGTTTGTTAGAGAAGGCAGGTAAAAGAAATGTGTATTGCACTTGGAGTGGAAGGAGGGGAGGTTTGGGGTGGTCTCTAATAAACTAATAAACTCCAAGGCCATAAGGGACCATCATGATCATCTAGTCTGACCTCCTGCACATTGCAGGCCACAGAACCTCACCCACCCACTCCTGTAACAGACCCATAACCTCTGGCTGAGTTACTGAAATACTCAAATCTTGATGTAAAGACTTCAAGTTACAGAGAATCCACCGTTTATTCTAGTTCAAATCAGCAAGTGACCCAGGCCCCATGCTGCAGAGGAAGGCACAAAAAACAAAACCATACCAGGGTCTCCGCCAATATGACCTGGGGGGAAATTCCTTCCCAACCCCAAATCTGGATATCAGTTAAACCAGATGTGAGTGAGATCCACCAGCCAGATACCTGGGCAAGAATTCTCTGTAGCAATTCAGACCCCTCCCCATCTAGTGTCCTATTGTCAGCCATTGGAGATATTTCATAATAGCAGTCACTGATGGACCATATGCCATTGTAAGCAACTTCATCATACCATCCCCTCCATAAACTTATCGAGCTCAGTCTTGAGAAAAGTTAGGTTTTTGCCCCCACTGCTCCCCTTGGAAGGCTGTTCCAGAACTTCACTCCTCTAAGTTCAAGCCTAAACTTAATTCTTAGTTCCAGTCCTGGTCCTTAGTTCCAGTCCCAGACTGGCTCCCAAGAAAGGTCTGTCTTCCACATGAACAAGGTTCACTCTTATTGTAGAGACTTCCCTTGTGTCAGAGGAACAGAGCTGTTGACCATAGTCTTCATCGTGGAGCACGAAATGGTCTTTTAGACATCCTGTGGCACTGTTTGCAAGCATGGTAACACTAACCCCTGTGGCAAACTCGGGTAGAATAATTACTGAAGCATTCACCTCATTGATGTCAATGCAGAGAAAGTCAGTGCCATGACTGAGCCCACCTTTTGAGACAGTGATATTCTTTCATCGCCAGAGAAGGCCAGAGGAAGAATGTCACTACAAGTTTATAACTGGGTGTTAGGTGGTATAGGGAACTGTATGTTGACTAGGGATCTGGGGGTCATAGTGGATCACAAGCTAAATATGAGTCAACAGTGTAACACTGTTGCAAAAAAAGCAAACATCGTTCTGGGATGTATCTGCAGGAGTATTGTAAGCAAGACAGGAGAAGTAATTCTTCCCCTCTACTCCGTGCTGATTAGGCCTCATCTGGAATATTGTGTCCAGTTCTGGGCGCCACATTGCAGGAAAGATGTGGACAAATTGAATAAAGTCCAGAGAAGAACAACAAAAATCATTAAAGATCTAGAAAACATGACCTATGAGGGAAGATTGAAAAAATTGGGTTTGTTTAGTCTGGAGAAGAGAAGACTGAGAGGGGACATGGTAACCTTTTTCAAGTACTTAAAAGGTTGTTACAAGGAGGAGTGAGAAAAATTGTTCTCATTAACCTCTGAGGCTAGAACGAGAAGCAATGGGCTTAAACTGCAGCAAGGGAGGTTTAGATTGGACATCAGGAAAAACTTCCTAACTGTCAGGGTGGTTAAGCACTGGAATAAATTGCCCAGGGAGGTTGTGGAATCTCCATCATTGGAGATTTTTAAGAGCAGGTTGGACAATCACCTGTCTGGGATGGTCTAGATAATTCTTAGGGCAGGGGATTGAGTTAGATGACCTCTTGAGGTCACTTCCAGTCCTACGATTCTATGATTCTATACATGCAGATGATAAGAAGTGAAAACATTGTATTCTCTTTATTAGAATGTGAAGGTGGAATAGAAATGAGACAAGTGATCATGGGGGAGGAGATGAAATTATGGTGCAGCTTGGCTATCAAGGGAGGCTGAATTGGAGAGTTGTCTATGGTCAGACATGTAGCAAATATAGTGTGGGAGGGTGGTTCCTGTAGAAGAGTGAGTTGGGTGCTGTATCTTGGCAAATGAGCAGAGGTACAATTTATGGGTGATGGGGTCCCCCCTGAATTAGATGGAGGGATGGTGAGGAGCCTTGGGGAGCTAAGGTTGGGTCCATAATAGACTGCCAAATATTATAGAGAAGAAGGTGGGTGAGGTAATATCTTTTATTGAACCAACATCTGTTGGTGAGAGACAAGCTTTTGAGCTTGCACAGAGCTCGTCTTCACTCTGGGAAAAAGACCAACAGAAGTCAATGTACTAAAAGATAGTTCCTCATCCACCTTGTTTCTCCAATATCCTGGGCCCACGGCTACCTCCACACTGCATAATTCAACTATTTCACTTTTCTTTTCATTTTCATGTAGAATTTCCTGGCTTTGAAACCACTTGTTTTTCTTATATCTACAACTTCCTCATAAGATCATTTTCTCAATACATAAACATTTACAACCCTTAGTAACAAAGTTTTTGCCTGGGAAAACTAGCAAATCCTAGCAAAATTATCAAGAAATTTACTTGAGGATGGTCTATACTTAGAAATTGTACTGGCATAGCTATGTCAGCAAGAAGTGTAAAAATATCACACGCACCCTATCTGATATATCTGTGCCATCAAACACCCTTCTGCTGATGCAGCTATACCAGCAAGAAGTCCTCTTGTTGATATCATTTAGTTTGGGGAACTAATGTAAGCTGCATCTCCAGAAACTCATTTATGCAGCAGTACTTTGTATTACATGTTCTCCGTTGCATTCAGGTATCCAGTTTGTAATGTGCATATATGTGATAGATAGATAGATAGATAGAGTATATTTTTAGTATATCAGACACCGCAGTGCACTTTGAAATGGATAAACTGCAGGGTTCAGAGTTGGAATAGTAGGGAAGGAGGGTCACTGTAAGAAGCTAATGAGTATACTGCCCTTCCATGTGCATGATGAGGTCATCCAAGCAAACTCCCTGCCACATGGGCCCAGTGTCAGGTTATCTAACAGGATGTTAAAAAGGAACTGGCTGGCACTGGCTGTACTGTAGAGATGCAGAATGTGATGTACTTCACCAGGGAGCAAACCAATCACAGTAGGTGTCTGGAAGGAATTCATCTCCCCTGCACAACTGGCTGGTACATTGTGAGGACTCTTTACTGTCCTCTGAACCATCAGCTATTAGCTGCTGCCAGCGTCAGGTTGCTGCACTACTACGGGAGATCCAAGAGCCTGATGAACAGCAGACTGCAAGTTCCTCTCACACACACCTCTCCGTCCCATGGCTTCACCTGCGCCCCGGTGAGCACTTGTCACCCATTGGTAGGAGTTTCCTCAGGGATAGTGCAGCCAGAGGAGCCTGGTAAAACTGATTCTGCTGCTTTCGTCTATGAGAGTCTTTTTCACATGCAGAAACATACCTTGGTTTAAGAAAAGGGGGGTGGAACGCCAAGGGGTAGGCTCCACTCAGCAAGTCACTTCACCTCACCCTTTAGGCCAGGTCTGAGGAAGCTGCTGGGAAGCTGAACACTGCTGACTGAGCTCCATATCTCTGGGGTGCATCTGCTCAAGGACTTTGTTTCCAATAGCCTTCCTCTCCAGAGCCCCACTCAGTGTGGCCAGGTCCCAGTAATACATGTTATAGACTGGTTTGCCCATTGCCCAGAACTCCACTGGGGACTGTCTCAGCCCCAGGAGAATACAGGTGGGTTTCAAAGCCATCCAGGGGATTTGAATGCCCAGTTCCATTCCCACTAGTGTTATTGAGAACTGGGCATCCTGAGCCCTTCAATAGCTTTGCAAATCTCAGCCTGAACTTTGCAAAGGTTTGTTCAAGTCAGGAAGAAGTTGAAAGACGAAACATCTCTAATCAGAAAAAAGTCAGCACTTCTGCCATGGAACAGAAGTGGGACAAAGGAACCTCTGGGTGCAGAGCTACACATCACCCGCACTCAGTCTGCTTTGCATTGCTTTGGTGCCTTGGATATACATCCTGTTACTGTGTTTCACCTCAGTGCTAGAAAAGTAAGATCCTCTTGCCCCACATTTAAGGAGATACCACCTCAGACTGTGACCTTATCAGATCTCATCAGCCAAACCGGGTTAGGTCTTAATACTTGAGTGGGAGAATTCCATGGGCCCCCTTTAGGAAAAGGTGTGCATGGCTGATTCAGTCAGTGGCACTCTTCCCGATGCCCCCACACTGGGAGGGGATGCTGTGCTGCTGGGGTGCTACCTTTGGGACGAGTCATGTAATCTGGTTCCTCTAAGGGGAGGTG